ATATAAATTGAAGTAGAAATAAATTATAATTGATTATCATTTATATTATTATTATTCTTTTCTTATTTATTCTTTTTGATATAAATGATAATATAAATATAAAATGATAATAATTGAATAAATCTATTTGTTTATGAATGTTATTGTTGATACAATAATAAATAGAAATAAATAAACAAAGAGTTAAGAAATTGATGAATAAAATGAAAGTATAAATTTAGTTTATTAGAAATATAAATATTGAATCTAAAATAGTTTATCTTGTATGTCTTCAAAAAAGTATATTATCAAAATTGAATAATTAATTGATAAGTATTTTATTAATAATTCATACAGTTTCTTATAATAATAAATATTTTGTATCAAATAGAATAAACATATTTATAACATGTGTCTTTCTGTCATTTTGATTAATTCATTTGAAGAAAACTTCAAAGAATAATTATTATATTAATTTTTAATGTTTATTTGTATTTTATTTTTAATGAAATAGAAAAAAAATAATTAAAGAAAATAACGTTATAAATAACAAAAGAACACGTGGAAATGAGAAAGCAATGAGTGGATAGAATGAAAGATTTGCATAAACAATAAACCACGTGAACATGATACAAAAGGAGAGAATGATATATAAAGGAAGTCAGAACTAAAGAAGTCATTAAATGAGTAAATATACAGGAATAGGTATTGGAATAGATTTAGGTACAACATATTCATGTGTTGGTATTTGGGAAAATGATCGAGTAGAAATTATAGCAAATGATCAAGGAAATAGAACAACACCATCATATGTTGCATTTACTGATACAGAAAGACTTATTGGAGATGCAGCAAAGAATCAAATTGGAATGAATGTTAAGAATACAATATTTGATGCAAAAAGAATGATAGGAAGAAGATTTAGTGAACCAAGTATTCAAAAAGATATGAAACATTGGTCATTTAAAGTAGTTGATGATGGACATGATAAACCAATAATTGAAGTAGAATATAAAGGAGAAATTAAAAGATTTACACCAGAAGAAATATCATCAATGGTATTAACTAAAATGAAAGAAACAGCAGAAACATTTATTGGAAAAGAAGTAAAGAATGCAGTTATTACATGTCCAGCATATTTTAATGATTCACAAAGACAAGCCACTAAAGATGCAGGAACAATTGCAGGAATGAATGTAATGAGAATTATCAATGAACCAACAGCAGCGGCTATTGCATATGGACTTGATAAAAAGAGTTCAGGAGAGAAAAAAGTATTAAT